ATAATAGGATTTTTAATGATATAAATTTATTCAAGATTTTTAACGACTTAAAATGTACGATAAATTACAAAAATATTTAACATTAAAAATTTAAAAAGCTCTCAAGTCACAAGTTGGAATCAATAATTTTTTTTTTTTACAAATTCGTTACTTTGTAGCCAAGAGAAATGCGACAATTTTGTAAACCTCCCGTGTATTGTTCGCTAACTTAGCCACAATCAATATCGTGCATCAACTAAGACGCTACGAAGAAGCTATTTGTCCAATGTGTCAGTTCGCTGTTATTTTTCGAACGTAATTATACTGGTGTATTGTACACGGCTGATACATCAAAATTAAATTTATATCGGCATTGAAAATCAGATCGAAAGAGAGGAAGAGAAGCTTCGCTAATCCGCTTGTTTCGTCAGTATATTTTTTTTTCTTTTTGCAATTCTCATTAGTATTTCCTTATCCTTATCACAGCCATCGTTAGCACTACTGGACTTCGGGATTAACCATTTCGCACATTCTTCGATCCGTTAAACCTTACAATTTACTACTTAACAGTTTAAAGTTATATCTAATTACAATCGCATCTTTCGATTATGACGCCAAGTCAAGTTCGCATTTCAGGTATCCAGTCGCAATTTTTGATGAAAGAAAGAACGGATTTCGATATTGTAATACAATATATCATAATTTTTGACGCCACGCTCGCGAATTAGGTACTATTTGATAAACTTTTACGTTTCATGATAAATAATTATCCGAAGATACGTTGGCGTTTAATACTAATGTTTTACATTTCGTCGAGATTGTTTAATTAAATAATATCTTCGCCGATTATCCACATTTTGTTGATCTCGACGTTTAATCTTCAATATAGATTATCTGCGATTAGAGAAATGACGAAAGTTTCTCTCATGGCGCGTGGAAAGATGCCTTATATTAATCTGTCTACCTTACTGATGAAGTTTTCAACGTTTAATCGATCTTCTTATCATCTAGCAGCGATCGTGCTGTGCAACATATTGCGTATCGGTTCGTCGATCAATCGATCGTCGAAGATCGTTTAAATTATATATAAATCATTCTTCATGACAAACATTAAAGACTTTCGATTAATTAAATGTTTCAAATATTTTAATAAATAAAAAGAAAGAGAGAGAAAAAGAAAGCCAATTATACACGTTTCACACGAAGCTTCGACAAAGATGAAATAAACTGTGTAAGGAGATAAAATATAAAAAAGAAAATAAAAAGAAAAGTATTACAACTATTATAACTACTAGAAAATTGACGGCGCGGCGGTGCATACATTGTCTTGTCGTTTTAGACCAGATCCCTGCGCGACACTCGGCATATAAAACTATATCCGCGAACGCGCATTGGCGTTTAAAAATGTAGTCCATCGGCTCGCAGCTCGCCGACGATCGATCGGTCAGTAAACCGAAGCGGGTCAAACGCCGGCGCATTCGCAATATTAAATTCCTAAAAGTTCCCTTACGCGAAGCAGCGTCTAAAGTATCTTACAGTTGAGCAAGGTGGATCGTGTCCTCGAACGCGTTACGCGATTGGGGTTTCAGTCCCTAACTGGTAACGTCATCAGCGACCTTGGGGCGTTCATATACATACTCCTCTTTATTGACTTCCTAATTAGCATGCCCGTCGGGTATACCTCAATCGAGATGTGTGTGACATTTTTATGCGGTTTTAACAATCTTCTCGAAGTCCTCCGAGAAAAAAGTTTTGCCATAATTATTATGTAATTAATTCTACGATTATTGTATATTAAGTGTATCCGCACGAACGCCAGTTAGGGACGAGAACGAATCTCCCTCTTGCAAAAACGCGATCTACGACAAGACAGAAGAAACTGGAACGCGATCAGACACGAGGAACAAACGATTTACTGCTGGTACAATAAAATTCGTAATATAAAGATTATAAAGCATCGAAGATGATTCAAACTTGAATTGCATCTCCGACGGAATCGACACCACAGTTCTAGGCAGTGTTTTCTAACTACTTTTGCAGTCATTAGTCAAATAGTTTAGCGCTGTTACGTATGGCACTGCAATAATATTAACACAAATTTTTATTTTACAAGTGTATAACGATCAAAGACTATATATATCTGAAGACGATATTCTTATTTTTGTAAAGGTGTCTTATTTTACACGCGCGGTAAGGAGGCGCATTATCATGAGGGGGATCTCGCGAAATCACGGATGTCCATTTACGATGAGAAAAATTACCCGTATTGTCGTTGCACCCCGAATGTAATCGCATTCTATTTCCTTCTGTCGCACGCAACTGGGCAAGATGCGATAAAAATCCACGGAGGATGGACGATTGTCAGGGTCGAAGGACATACACGTTTACTTCTAGCTTTCAGGATCCACCTCTCTCCGGCACTCTCGCCGCCGCGCCGGTTCGGTCGTTTAAAGCGTCGTTGAAGAGTTCAAAGGGAGACGAAAGAGTCTAACAGCGAGAATCGTTAAAGAGTCCGCGAGACGATGCAAGATTCTATTCTACAAAAATCGAGCGATCTCGTCTATCTCTCAATATTGTGTATCGTTAATTAGCTAATTTATTGATACCGCCAAATGTATTCGGTGGCGTGGCTCCTCGCGGTTCATCACAGGCCGATACGGACAAACGGAAGGCCATGTGCCCGTTGATATCCGTTTGCATCCGGTGGCTGATATATTGAGGCACCGAGAGCACGTGCTCAGAGTGCTATAAAAGTCGATTTAGCTACTTGTAACTCTTTAATGTTGATTTGAACATCTTTTCACGACGTTCTTCGTCTCGTCAGACTCTAATAAAAACTTCATCGCTCCGATCTTATATAGATCGGGGTTTCTCGGTTTCCAAGTTAATTTCGCGCTATTTCAAGTTAATTTTATAACAGGAAACAAGAATTTTTGGGGGGAAATTCTTTTAGGAACATTATACAGCCAAATTAGCTTTCTTTTCTTAATAAATATCTGTTCCTATATCCGTCCTTCCTCTGTATTTAAAAAACCTTTTTATTTTGAGACATAATATCCTGTAGCTAAATCGACGTATCATACTGCCTTACTCGCTTTTACCATTCGAGACCGCCACCGAGGACATAGTCGGACGCATTCTTGAGAAAGCATGCGTACGTGATATTTTTTTCCTTGGCTATCGAATAAATTTTAGAAAGATATCGACCCCTACTAAGAGAAACGATGTTTATTGATTATTCATTTCATCTGCGAATTTTACTAAAGACCGTAGCGGCTGTACGTAACTACAAGATCTGCCGCGTGTGTCCACTTTTTCGTACGTTGAGAATTAACACTATCTATGTAGCAGACAATTGAGAAGTTAAGTCTATTCTCGGATTTCATTATTCTCTAGATCGTTGAGATCAATCTTGCCGGATTGATTATATTCTCGTATGTATTACGCGCAACATTTTACGAAGGATCGCTGTATCTAGTCCAAAAAAGATATCTCAAAAGAAACACGCTATTGAAATCTAATTCAAATTGCGCATTAATTATATCGATCTTCGCAGTATACGATAACGATTCTACCATGGTGTTCGGGACAACAAAAGTCGCAAAGACTTAAAAGTTACGAAACAGATTTATATATATACACTGTAACTCTTAGACACGTCGAATAACTGCGACTAGTTTACGATCGTTGAGCAAAAATCATATTGCGGTATTTGGTGTATAATGACCTTCGAATACATTGCTGCACGAGTTATATATCGAGGACTCTTATAATTTTCTATTCAATAGAGTCACATCTCTCTTCAAAATTTCTTGCCATACAAGCGCCAAGGTTATTGGCTGAGATTTAATTTGAAAATTATTTTATAAAACTTTATAAACTAACGCTTCTCTAAAGTAAGTATAATTTTTAAGTTTATGTTAGTGCAAAATAAATCGAGTCTTTCCGACATTAAAGAAATTAGTCGCGTTATAGTTTACTCCACGTTCATTTTCTGCCTTGTATATAAATTTACATATCACACTTCCGTTGGAATACACACGATATTCTTCGGTACTTTCGCCAACGTCAACTTAACCGCTAAAATTGAGTCTCAATTTGAAAATTACCGTACGTTCTAATTGTATATATAAACGAGACGCTACATAACGTAGAATCAATTTATACGATTAACAAACGATTCGGCGAGCGCAATTTATATGATTAACAAACAATTTGCTATCTAAAACCGTTCGAAAACCGCCGAGCGGAGAACGTTCCTCGCGCGATTACAAGTCACGTCTCGGTGGAACACATTGCGAGTATACGCGACTCGATTCCGTGAATAAAATTCGCGAAGCCTTTATTTGATTACAACTGCAAGGACGGCTGCGTACGCGTATATATATGTATATATATATATATATAACATTCTCGGAACGTTCAACGGCACGACGGCGACAACAATAACAACGTTTCTCGCCCCTTTCAGTATAGGTAATGAGCATAGCGCTGATATTTATTCCTCGTCGGGTACAGACGCTCTCCTTCACGAGTCACGAGGCATGCATAGAAATGAAAACGTCATTGATTAGGTCTTTCATATAGGTGTTCCATTTTCGCGCGTTACAACGGCTCGATAAGGACACAGCATCATGCACTTGGATTCCTTACTAAAGCATATAAGATCGCAATCAATCACAGCCAAATTCGCTAAAGACGAAAATCCGCGTGTCTTTTCGCGAGCGAGCGAGCTTTCGTATCCTCTTGGTTTTACGAATTTAACGTTCAAACGGAGAGAACCAATTGGGAAATTAATCGGTAACTTAAAAACATCCGTCTCTTGAGAAACAAGCACTAATTAATTCCACTTTCCTTCACAACGTAATAATCGAACGCTTGTGACAATACGTAATTTACAAATCGCCCTCGCTTTGGATTCGCTTAAAATTAAACAGGACTGGAATAGAATTACCAGTGGAAGACAGAACGTACACATGTTTGTGAAAACAAAATATATATATCTGACACACTATATATGAAAAAAAATATATTATATATATATGTTTAACAAAATTGTATCGTACAGAAACTTAAACAACGCCTTAGTCGCGCTAAAGCACAAACAGCATCAGCCATATGGAACATGATATTTAATATCGGCGAACGCGAAGCTACTGTGTGCTCGATATAACATTGTACATGGGCAACGGTAGTACTCTTAACAACAAAGTATCAAGCAAAAAACGAACAATAGCAGCAGAGCTAGAAAAAAAAAAAAACAGAAGATAGCGAATCGTAAGTAATAGGTCCAGTTAGCCAGCATCCAAACTGAAAGTTTCTATCAACGGCATTTTTCCCTCTTTTTCCTATTTTTTTTTCCGTGCGGCAACGGGGTGTGTCTCCCGGTGTGTAAGGTGTTTATATACCGCAAACGCCGCGTGTCACTGACTGACTGACTAGCCGTGTGTCTCGTGTACATAATAGTACCACGCGTACCTCTCGTCATCAGATCACACACAAGACTCTTCTATCACAAGCACTGCATTCTTGCCCGCTCGATCGTATATACGGCGAAGAGCCCTTTAAGCGGTTGTCTTTGTCTTTTTTTTTTTCCATTTTCGCCCGAGAACCGCCCGAGCGAGGCAGAGTCTTTTCTCTCAATATCGAATCATGCGCACGACTTCGAAAAAGTAGAAATAAAAAAAGAAAACAAAGACGTATAAAGGAGTATAAAGAAACGCGGGAAACCGTGTCTCCAGTCATTCGGCTCTCGGAGAGATCTCTCTCCGCGTTTTAACGTGTGTGGTCGTGTTGTGTAACGTGTCAGAATATAAACACCCTTTCGGTTCTCTGTGTATACAAAAGGTGCTTAGTGCGTTAAGTCGTGGTGGTCTGATTTAGATGCAGCCATCTTATCTGATAAAATATTTTAACGTTAGATATCAGTATGACAAAAGAGCGAAAAAAAAAGAAAAATATATATATAATGTATATATGAATAGCAACCTATATGCTACAGAGTCAATCGTCTGTCTATGCTAATACGCACGCGGTAAAATTAAACAGTTTTATCCGAGACGGAGGAAAAATGCTGAATGTGCGAAGCGAGACATCTCGAAGCGCGACGATACGATAGTAACGTGTGTCGCGATAAGAAGCATTGCGCCATATAAAAATGATCTACACTAGCAAACTTGAGAAATATATCGAGATACGAGAAAAATCGAGTGTACGCTCGATCAAAAGAATCGTGTTCGGCATATCAGGCAAATATAATAATCTTTCGATCAAACGAAATAATTGTAACAAACATCGAGTTTCAACTAGTGCTCTCCTATATAGACTAGACATATTACAACAATCGTAATAAAGATGCAAATCATCTAAACTATATAATGTATATATACATATATTAACCATATATTTCAGTTAATACATATATAAATATTTTCTTAGCGTAGAAGCCAAAAATGCAAGCCCCACTAGGCAGTGGTAACCCTATCTTTTGCTCGTTTGAGAGAGCTCTAAATTCCAATGTCCAAGAACAATGCGCGCATAAGAAACTCGCTTAATATATTGATTACCACTGCCAAGCTACGAGATAAAGTCTATTAATGCAGCGGTCTCGCAAGGTATAAAATTACTTACCGCGGCTTTGATTGTACCCCGCCTGCCAGCCTGCGTAATACGCCGCCTTTTGTTTTCCGTGTTCCTCCGCGATTTTTACGCTAAGCGGCTCTGATCCACCCTCCGGTATTGTACCGTGAAGTTGCGCGATAGCCTCCTGGGCTTCTTCCCTCTTATCGAATCTGTATCGGGACAAATTGAGGAAATTGAAATTTATCAGTACAAATCAAGTTTCAAAATTGTGGATGCGTTAAATATCTATTTATCAGGGATAATAACTTAAGTATGTAACGATACGCGCAAGACATTTTTACGCTCTTCAAAATATTCTGTAGGAGCGTTAATTTCTGCTATCTATTTTTGTTTCCTCTGCCTTTTTCTAAGCTTGACAAAATCGAAACGGGGATAGCCAAGGGTCATTTTAGCGAGATTCTCAGCTGTTGGCATAGATTGCAACAGCTATTTCCAACACAGCCTGTTTCTCACACAATTCCGCTATCCCTAGTTTATTCACGTTTTGCAGTTATCTGGGCCAGACTAAAGGGAGCGTATCAGAATTGTGCAATTGAAACCAGGAGCTGTACAAAAATACTTTGGCAGGAAACTTTTCGCAAAGTAAATAACGCGCGCACGGATGTATGCAACGACCGTCGTTGTGTAACGATATAGTATGATTGCCGCGAGCAGCTGTTTTGAATTTGTTCCAATCTTTAATACCGGCGCGTTATTTATACTTGACGAAAATGTGCAAGTGTCATAAATTGATATTTGTTAAACCACCGAGGCTACCGTTTTTTGCCGTGCGTGTATAAGTACGGTACTCACGAACGCAAACTGCTCATCAATATTTAAAGGATGGAAAAATCGGGATTAACTGTAGAAACTAATCGTTCGCTCACCTAACAAACGCTACCCCTCTCGGTAAACCGGTCAGTTTATCCCTCAATATATTCTTCTGCACAATATTGCCAAATTTACTGAAAAGTTCGTCGATCTGGCTTTCCGTTATATTTCTGTAAATATAAATGGTGTCTTTCAGTACAATACAATATTTTTCGTATTATCAGGATCAGCCAGGATAGCTTGGCGCTAGAGAAATCGTTTGCCAAGCAAAAGACCCGGGTTCAATTCCCAGTTCTTACCACCTCAAATATAAGGAATTATAAATGGAAGAATTATTCTACCGTGAACAAAAAAAATAACACTAAAATATAAATCTCAAGAAACGTGACTAAATAAATCGCGTAATCCTTGGATCCATCGGTAGACGAAAATCCAAGTAAGAACAAAAATAATTACCTCGGTAAATTCGTAACGTAAAGATTCGTTTCCTTAATTTCTTCTCCAGAAGGCCGAGCGAACGACACCTTCAGACGTTTATTTTGCACCTGAAGCCCGTTCAACGTGCTTATCGCCGTCGCCGCGTCCTCGGCTTTCGCATAGTTCACAAAGCCAAAGCCGTAGCTGTAACCAGTCTGGAAAATGAGATGTAAAGTTAAAAATTTTACATAAAAGCCGACATATGAGATTTCATTTAGGAATTAGGCAGCTTGCCTTGTAGTCCTTCATGACCCGACAGGATTCGACCGGGCCAATCGTGACGAACAGGCTGTACAGCTCCTTCTCGTTCATGTTTTGCGGAAGGTAATTGATTATCAGATTCGTTCTCGGCTCGTCATTGCCCTTGATCTGCTGTTGCTGCTGCTGCTGTTGAAACTGGGACTGCGGCTGCTGCTGCTGCTGCTGCTGCTCTCGCTGGTCAGTCATTTTGCGGCACTGTTGCTGCTGCTGCAGATCACCTCCCGACGACGACGACGACGACGCCTGATTCGACGCGACGATCTGATTCTGCTGTTGCTGCTGACGTTGCTGCTGCTGCTGCTGCGCGACCGAGTCCACCACCAGCAGCTGTTGGTGTTGTGGTTGCTGTTGTATACTCCAACTGGTACCGCCCAGCGAAACGACCATCGACGGGAGGATCATCGGCAAATACAAAAAATATAAACAAATCCATTACTAGGTCTTCCCCGTACGGCAACGCCGCCACGCTCGTAGGCCAGCCTGCGCCCTCGTATGCTCTCATCTTTCTTTCTTTCTCTCTCTCTCTCTCCCTCTCTCGCTTTCTCTCTAAGCAAGTCTCAAAATAAATAGAAAATAAATGTGCAATATATGTATTGATGCCAGACCTGTGTGTGAGAAACAAACAAACAAAGGCAAGTAAGGACAAAAAACAGAATCAGATGGCGGGGCGAAAATCAAAGATGCAAAGTGGGCGTAAGTAGTAATGAGTATCGCGCAAAACTCTCTTTGCGCGGGGGGGGGGGGGGCGGCAACAAAATTAAACGCTACAGAAATATCGATCTGTATGTCGTGTCCCGTGAACTTTAGCGGAGATTTCCTTCCCTTTATATCTTTATATCGGCGTTTCCGGAATTATTTGTGTCGATGCAACTTTAACGCACCTACTTAACAATCTAATCCGCGGGGAGAAATCCGATGCGTCTCGCGCGTGATGGAAAAGTCGCTCCTAAACGCGATCGGCGAAGGATCGAGAGTTCGCTTCGGAGAGTTGTTACGCGATTAATATCGCCGCGCCGCGGTGAGAGTATCCGGTCGTGCAACGACACCGCGATACGAGCGGTATCGAATTTCATTGAGTACCCCCTCCCCCTCCCCTTCCCCCCCGGGCGGGAATTCGCACGACGACGGGAGACAGGAGTCACGCGCGTTCGTTCATTCAGGTCTCGAGCGCCGAGAAACAGAACCGCGCGAGCGACGCGAAGAGAGAAAAGAAAATTTCCACGTACTCGCCTATGTTTACAAAGCGCCTTCCGAAGCGATTTTCCGCTTGTGATCGTCATCGTTGTTTCAACGACAATGACCGACGACGACGACGACACCGTTGCCGACGTCCCCCTTTCGTCGTCAACAAAAGCGAACGGGCAGAAACAATAAAAACAGAACGAGGACAGAGGGAAGGGAAGGACCGAAGGGCGTGGAGGCGAAGGGAGATGGAGGGGAAGGGGGGGGAGGATTTTCGAAGTTGGCGAGGAACGTAACCTTTTGGCCTTATTTTGAAGAGGCCCGGGAAAGAGCGCGAGCTGTCTGGCCCCGGCGGATTCGTGAATCGACCAAGCTGTCAGAGTGTGGAGGGAGGGGAGAGGGGAACGGAGAAGGGTACGAGAGAGAAGGAGATACGCATAGGCGTACCGAGGTGGGAGAAGGAAGCGGGACGCGGACAGCGGGACGGAGAGGGCAGGGAGGGCTGGTTTTACGTATATATATATATATATATATTATATGTGTATATTACGTGTGGATGTGTGTAACGTGTGATTTTTACGTGTCGTATACGTACCCGAGTGATCGCGGAACGGAGTAAAATCGGCGAGCAGAGCGCGCGGGCGTACGAACAACCACCGCCGCCGTTGCCGTGGGGACGCACTTCGCTCGCTCGTTTTCTCTCTCCCTCCCCCTCTATCTCTCTCTTTCGCTCTTTCTCTCGCGTCGCGTTAATGCGCCGTTAATGCGCACCGACGACCGGGGCAATTATGTAAGCGCGCGTACCGTCAGCATCGCGTCCGTCGTGTTACTAGCCGTGCAGCACAACCCACACGACGCGACGTATACGATACGTAATCCGCCGCGAACGCGCTCGCTGCGCTTCGCTCCGCCGGACTCCAGCGGCGCCCGGGAACTCGGCTGGCCGCCGCGCGCTCGGCAGAACGCGCGACTTCCTCCGCGCGGCGGAGAGGAAGGAGTGAGTGAGAGAGAGAGAGGCGGGAGAAACGGGAGAAGGAGAGGGAGAGGGAGAAGGAAGGAGAGTGCAGCGCGCGCGCGCGGGAGCGGCAGCGAGAGGAGAGGATTGGCAGGCAGATGCAACACGACTGACACACCGCACGCGAGCGCACTGACTGGCTGCCAGTGAGCCCCAGCCCTGACCTGTCTCTCTTTCTCGCGCGACACCCTCTCGCGGCACGCCGCCCCACTACCCGACTGCGCTGCGCCCCCGGCCCCGCGCTCTGCTCCGCTGCGCCGCGTGACGGAACGCAGCGTGCGCGACGCGGCAGCGTAGCGCGGCCCCCCCGCCTAAATAGCGAATTCGGTCACTCGCCTGCTTCCCGCACCGCGTGTGCCCGCCAACGCGGTACTTACATCCCGTATACGCGCAGGTTATTTAAAAACGTTGGCGTGCGAGCGCATCTTTGACTGATAAAACGTCGATAGATACCGGTAGGTTTTTACCGGAGTCGCGCGGGACAGCCTGTATAGGGTTTTATCGGTCGGAGTGCTCCTATCGCGCTCAGATGGATTGTCGTAATTGGCAACCAAGTTGGAAGCTAATGCTTAACGTATACAACAACCCAGACGACACAAGTGTCCAAAATCGGGGCATAGATGTCATTAAGATTAAAGATGTCATTAAGACGTCTTCATATCATAAAAGACATCTTGTGTTCCGCTTTTGTATATTGTGCTGTCTGGGAACCCTTCGGAGTACGAAGTAACGAACGTTTGAACAAGCAAGCGAGAAGAGAAGGTGCCAAAAGATTTGTGTCAAAAAACTGGAAACCCCTAGTGGGAGACACGGTGATAAGATTGAGCTCATCTCAAACCTTTTAACCTTTCGTAGTCACACATGGGTCAATTTGACCCATCTTCATTTGGATCTAAATATCAGCTAAATGCCTAGCTTAAATTGGGACTTGGTCCGTCATCTATAAGAGTTTGAAGTACCTATCCTCTATA